CTCTTAGTGTCGAACTCTCAATCGATGATCGGTCAGTCCGCGGTACGACCTTCGTACTGTCGTTTTCTTTCCTCTAAACTAACACCACGTTCCGAAGTACCATGAGTCTTCTTGTCTCTCCCTTTCGTAGCTTGTCCTTGATGGAAATTCTTAGCATTTTTTTTCGTTGGTGCGCTGCTGCATTCTTAACAAGGGTTTATACTTGTTTGTTGATGACAAGTCTCACAACCATATAGAGCATCTCAACCAACGTTCCAATCACAATTCATATTTTTCTGTTCACAGTAATGTCAGCGTTTTTTTGCGTGCACTTCACGTCGCACGAACTCTTCTAGCCGGCTCTGAACCAAACGAGTGGTCCGACATGATTAACTCTGGCAAATAGACGTGCTTGGTGTCTTCTTCTGTTTTGGCATCGCGGATGACCACTGTAGCTGGTAGGATAAATTCGTTCTAACTCGCATAACATGGCATAAATTTTTATTTGTTGAAAACTGAAGTTAAGTAAGCCGTCTGCCGTTGTTTTAAAATCCTCCATTCCGTTTCGCTTTGCCAAAGAGACTCAAAACATGCGGTGAACAGCTTCAGCGCTATGATGTCTTCTTGAACTCGGCTAAAGTGATCCCTTTGAACTAAATCTACGAATAGGTGAATCTGCTATATCGTGTTGTAGCATACGCATATTTCGTGTAGAATTCGGATATGACCTTCTTCTAGTGCATCGAAGATCGCTTCATACGTCACAATGTCAAATGCCTTTTCATAGTCGACGAAGATCAGGCAGATGGGCAATCCGTATGCATTACAGTACTTGGTCGAATGTCGAAAAATTTTCAACGAAATCCAGATTGCTGTTCGCTCAATATCTTGCTTAAATGATTTAACGGGACACATGGGATAGGAGACACATCTTCTTCTTCCATCGCCGCTTCTCCTTTCAGGCCGCGGAGGAAGACGCGTCAGACAGTGCTTCCAACGTTCCCGATCCTGTGCCAGAGTCTGAGCTTCGGCAA